AAAAAAAAAAAAAAAAATTGTAGGCAAGTCACTCCAGCATACAATCACCAATTAAATATAAACAAAAAAAGTCACAATGCCTTGGAGCATCACAGTCCACACAAAGAAGCAAGAGAAAGCAGGAGAAACAAAGGACCAGGATACAGACCCAAAACACATGCCTGAGGAAGACACATCATTTGAATTCCCTGAAAAGGAATTCAAAAGAATTATATATAGGTACCTTCAATGAATTGAGAGACAGATCAAGAAAAATACTGACAAAATTGAGGAAAACCCTATAGTAATTTCAGAAGACAATACAAGAACAAAATGACAAAATAAATGAAAAATTAGAAATGTTTCTGAATCTACACATAGAAATCCAGAAGATTAATACTAAATTTTCAGAAACAGGTAATTCATTGAACAGGCAAAGGAGTAGAATTGAATCAGTGGAAGACAGAATTAGTAAGACTGAAGGCAAATACCTCAATATTTCTTTGTAAAGGGAAAAATCATTAAAAAAAAAAAAAAGATCAAAACAAAATGAAGAATGCCTAAGGTTCATATGGGATAACATCAAAAGGAATAACTTATGTGTAATCAGAATTCCAGAACAGGAAGAGGCAAACCACAGAAAAAAATTGTCGAAGATTAGTTGGAAGGGAATTTTCCTGGTATGAGGAAAGATGAGAATATTTCCATTCAAGAAGTCCAATGAACCCCAAACAGGATAGACCCCAGAAGAAATTCACCAAGACATATCATCATCAAACTCACCAAAACCAAAGACAAAGAAAGAATCCTAAAAGCAGCATGGGAAAAGCGAAAAGTTACCTGCAAGGGGCAACCAATAAGAATAAGCTCAGATTTCTCAGCAGAAACCATGCATATAAGAGACAGCGGGATGGTATATATACAGCCCTGAAAGAGAAAAATTTCCAACCAAGAATTATATACCTGGCAAAACTGTCCCTCAAATATGACGGTGAAATTAGGACATTTCTAGATAAACAGAAATTAAGGGAATTTGTTGAAACCAGACCAACCTTATAAGAGATGCTAGAGGGAGTCCTTTAGACAGAGAACCAACAACAGCAAACAACAACTGACCATTAACACACATGATGACATAACCCAGAAACCAACCCAGTTATAGAAGTATCCAAAGTAAATAAGCCTACATGATTGTAAACAGGAACCAGAGACATCAATTGACAAATGAAGACAACTACAACCCAGAAAGAGGGAAAAAACTGTATAGTTACAGAAATACTAAATGGTAGGGAAGGCAAGACAGCTACAAGATAGAACAGACAGTTCTAAACTTGAGAAGAAATTATAAATCACCTGTGTAACCTCAAAGAAAAATGATAAACCTTCACATCAAAATAAGAGGACCAGAACAAATATTTAGCAAATACTAAAACAATAGCAACGAAGGAGATGATAACATGATTCATAAACAAAATGAGCTCAGCACAGTAAGTTATATGGAACAAGGAAATCAACACCACAAAAAAGCACATAACAAAATGACAGCAACAAATTCATATTTGTTGATAATTACATATCTGACAAGGGACTTATCGCTAAGATTTATATAAACCTCCAACACCTCAACAACAAAAAGATTAACAATCCAATTTTAAAATGGGAAGAAGACATGAATGGACACTTCACCAAAGAGGATATTCAGGCGGCCAGCAAATACATGAAGAATTGATTATGATCATTAGCTATCAGCAAGATGCAAATCAAAACAACAAGATACCATCTCATCCCAGTACTAACGGCAAAGTTCCGCAAGACAGAAAATGGCAGATGCTGGAGAGATTGGGGCTCTCATACACTGCTGGTGGGTCTATAAAATGTTATAATCACTGTGGAAAACAGTATGGCGATTCCTTGAAAAGCTGGAATTAGAAATATCATTTGACCCAGCAATCCCATTACTAGGTGTATATCCTAAAGACGAGGAGCTCTGGTAGCATAGTGCCTAAGTGCCTAAGGCATTTGACTGCTAACCAGAAGGCTGGCGGTTCAAACCCACCAGCCACTCCTCGGAAGGAAGGTTGGGCAATCCTACTTCCATAGTGATACTGCCTCGGAAACCCAAGGAGGGGTCTCTATGAGTTGGGGCCGACTCGACGGCAAATAACAACAACAACAACAACAACATCCTAAAGACGTGAGAGCCAGGACAGGAACAGATATATGCACACCCATGTTCAATGCAGCACTATTTACAATAGCAACAATGTGGAAACAACCTACGTGCACATCAACAGAAGAATGGCTAACCAAACTCAGTATATACACACACAATGGAATGCTATGCAACCCTAAAGAATAATGTAGAATCTGCAAAGCACTGCATAACGTGGATGGACTTGAGGACATGATGCTGAGTGAAAGAAGTCAATCACAGATGGACAAATACAGTATTAATTCATTATAAAAAATCAAGGAAAGGTTTATATATGGAAGGGAACTTTCTTTGTTGGTTACCAGAG